AACCAGGTTGTCTTGTTCTCAGCTATAATGACTACATGTTACATTCCATTTTTCTCCAAGACAAAGATGTCCATCCTAAAGGGAAGCTTGTTAAGACTCAGGATATTAGAAGGGGGCAAAACTGAATGATGTTCTAAGGGAAGAGCTTGTTAAGAAACAGAATATTCACAAGCAAGTGAAACAACAGGAAGTTCTAAGTAAGCTCCTTCACCTCAGAAAGCAAACAACACAATGGCTTCAGGAAGCTACTGAAACTGAGCAGGCTCCTCCCTCTCCAAATACATATAAGCAATAAGGACTCTATGGCAAGCTGAACTACCCAGAAGAAACAGGGGCTAGCCAAGTAGCCTGGAAGAATGAGCTACCTGGAAAGATACTGTCCAACCTATTGAGCTGACTGTAGGTTGTGCAGTGCAGTCCAGGTTTTCAGTTTACATGAGCTATTACCCATGCAGAGGTGGACTTCGATAACTCAGCTGTCTTTGAGCCATTTATTCTCATTAAGTTGACTCCTTTTACCCAGTCTTGCAAGTAACACTAACAAAACTCAAGGTGGACTTTGGTGGTGTCCATACTTTGATCTGTCATCAGATCTCTGTATAGCATGATAGATGTTTGTTAATGTCTATCCAGGAATAATGTCACAAAATAATTGGGTACAAGATTAAGAGATCATTCATTAGTGAGGATAGTGGGGTGAGCAGTTGGGGAGGGATGATTGTATGCAGATGCAAACTCTTCTATGAAGTAATCAAAAAAATTAAATTGCATTCTGTAAATCCCTGGCTTATGTAAAACCAAACCATCACCACCCTAAAAAATCAAAACTCAAAACAAACAGCAACAAGGGCAAAAAATCCAAACAAGTGCAGGGTTATTTTAACTCAGATATTATGACATTTCCAGCATTGTTCTTTTTCCTCATTATTGCTTTCTTCAGCCAATGTCTCTTGTGTTTCCATATGATTTTTAAAAATATTTTGCAATGATTCCATTGAATCTATTAACTCTGTTAATCCATGCATACGAGAGGTATTTCCATCTTCTATTTCTCTTTTTAATATTTATAATTTCCAATGTAGAAATATTTCACTTCCTCAGTTAGGTTTGTTCCTGGGTTCTTTAAATGATATTATAAATGGGACTTTGTTCTAAATGCCCTCTCAACAAGTTGATTGTTGATTTGTTGAAAGCCTGCTGATTTTTGTTAGCTCTGTAAATTAAGGTTCTAAGAAAGTCTTCTGGTGAAACTTTTAGTTCCTTTCTATACACAATGTTAACTATAAATCAGGATAATTTGTGTTCCTTTCTTTTCGTTTGTATCTTTTATTTTTCTTTCTCTTTCCTTGATTCCTTCCTTTCTCCTGACTTAGTTAAGAGTTCAAGAATAAGGCCACACCAATTGGAAGTGAGTTGTCTTCCAGCTGAACTCCCTAGATTCTGTTCCCAAAGACCCATTCCACTGTCCTTCCTTCCCACCTCATCACCTGGCCTGAGGCTGGGCCCTTCCCCAACCATGGCAGACTTCTGTGCTTAAGTGCAGGCCACACCAGTCAGAAAAACAGGAGAGTAACCCGCCTTCCAGCTGAACTGCCCCACTCCCTAGATTTTGTTCCCAAAGACTCATTCCACTCCCTGCCCTCTCCCACCTCATTTCCTGCTCTGCTGCTGAGACCCCAGGTGTGGACCCTCCACTCTACATGTGTAGGCCACACTAGTCAAAAGAACAGGTGCAGGTTATACCAGTCAGAAGAGAGCCTCTGCTGCACTAAAGGCCAAGCTAGCCACCCAAAGGCCAGCCCCCAACTAGAACAGACTCTACTAGGTGAGAGGTAACACCAACCACATGATACCAAGGCCACAAAAGCCAGAAGACCAAAGAGAAAAGAGACAATAAAGAACAATAAAGAACACCATCTAACAAAGACAAACCCAGAAATCAGCACCTATACCTGTAATTATCCCAAATTCAGATGCCTAAAGGCCAGTGTAAGAGGACAATTAATTATATCCATGGCAATATGAGGCCACCATATGACAGCAAGACCCAAATATTCGAATGCAGCTGAAGCACACGAAGAAGACCTTCAAAACAATTTTATAAAGATGATAGAGGTCCCTAAAGAGGAAATGAAAAAATCCTTTAAAGAAATGGAGGAAAAGACAGCTCAAAAATTTGGAGGAAATTGATAAATCCCTTAAAGAATGCCAGGAAAGACAAAAGAACAAACAAAACACCAAACAGGTGAAGGAAACTATTCGAGACATGAAAATCTAAACAGATGTAATAAAGAAAACATGAGGGAATTCTGGAAATAAAAAATCTGGGTAAGCAAACAGGAACTACAGAGCAAGCATCAGCAACAGAATATGAGAGAAGAGAGAATCTCAGGCATTGAAGATACCATAGAAGAAAAAGATCCATCAGCCAAAGAAAATGTTAAACCTAAACATACATAAATGCTTAAATGCACTCAAAGAGCATTCAAACAGAAAGCAGTCTCCTTTACCAATTTGTTCGAGGGTACAGCCTACCTTCTCTTCTAGGAGTTTCAGTGTTGTTGAATTTATGTTGAGGTCCTTGATCCATTTGGGCTTAAGTTTTGTGCATTGCAATCGAGAGGATGTGGAGAAAGAGGAACTCTCCTCCATTGCTGGTGGTAGTGCCAACTTATACAACCACTTTGGAAATCAGTATGGCAGTTTCTCAGGAAAATGGGAATCAGTCTACCTCAAGATCCAGGAATTCCTCTCTTGGGCATATACCCAAAGACTGCACATTCAGACAACAAGGACATCTGTTCAACTATGTTCATAACAACATTATTTGTTTTTTAATCATTTTTTATTTGAATCAGAAATAAGATTGTTTTACATGACAATCCCGGTTCCCTTCTTCCACCCGCCCTCCCCTACCGCGCCCCCCAACTAAAACCCTACCTATCCCATATCCTTTCTTCTATTCTTCCCCTGACTCAAACTTTCTGCTCCCTCATGAACTCTGCATCCTTCCTCTTCTTCCCTTCTCATTCTCATAGATCTCTCCCCCTCTTCCCGTGATCTCAATTTGCTCAGGGGACTGTGACCCTTTCCCCTTCTCCAGGGGACCATGTATGTCTCTCTTAGGGTCATCCTTGTTTACTAGCTTCTCTGGCAGTATGGATTGTAGGCTGTAATCCTTTATGTCTAAAATCTACATATGAGTGAATACATATCATGTTTGTCTTTTTGTGATTGGCTTACCTCGTTCAGAATGGTTTCTTCTAGTTCATCCTGGAAATTTCAAGATTCCATTGTTTTTTCCTCCCACTGAGAGTACTCAATTGTGTAAATGTACCACATTTTCTCTATCCATTCTTCAGCTGAAGGGCATCTAGGCTGGTTCCAGTTTCTGGCTATTACAAATAGTGCTGCTATGAACAT